CCCGTCCCCGTACTCTTCTCCGCCTTCTCCTCCGGATACCCCATCAGATTTTGGCGACGAACCCGTCCCAGCCCCCGAAACGCCGCCGCCGCCAAGTGGAGCTAGCTTCAGCGGAGTCACCACCGTCGGCTGCGTCGTCGGAGCAATTCTCACGGCGGCGCTTTTGTCGTAGATGTGTGAGGCGGAATTTCCATGGATGAAAAAGACAGACGTTCAGGTCCTCTTTCCCCTTCCCCATTTCTCGTCCTCTCTCCATGCTGTTTGCCGTAGATGCTCGCTTTCGTTCAATCTCCTTTTGAGCTGTTCAAGAGCGGCTTGATCAACTCTGGTTTCTGTTTTTGAATCGATTCAGATGTTCTCCCGATTTGTTTCTTTGTTCCTTCTTCACTTCGATTGGAGACCTAATTTAGTTCGATGACTGTCACTGTCAGTGCAGAACGGCATGATCGAATTTGATTATATTAGGGTTTTCGATATCCATCTATTCCCAAAATGGATTAGACTTCAGATTGATATTGTAAAACTTAAACTTTCTTTAATTGCCGGTATTCTGATTCTTTGATGGACTTGAAATCCAAATCCTCCATTGCATTTAGTCCTTAATGATGTGAATACCTTTTTTTTTCTTCTTGTGACTGATTTTAATAGTTGGAGTCCGAAAATTATCTGGAAGAAGGCGGATGGTAATGTATTCCTGTTCATTTTCACCTGTTTGTATATCAATTGGGATTTAGAATGTACACAATTTCTCGGGTATGTTCCGTGAAATGCCTGTGTGTTCCATTGGCAGCAATATCTGTTAGAGAAAGAAGAGACAAACGCTAAGTCTGTGGAAGTGGAAGAGGCAGTTCCTACTCCAACGGAAGAGGTTGCAGAGAAAGCCGAGGAATCACCTCCTGCTGTAGAAAGCAACCCCGTTTCTGCTGTTGAAGAGAAAGCTGGAGATCTTGAAGAGTGTTCTGAGGCTCCTCCTGCTGCCGAAGAAAAGAATGATGGTGAAGAAGCTGCTGAGGAGGAGGCCCCTGGGATCAAGGTGTTTGACTAATCATCATTGATCCTTATATATATATATATATATATATATATTCAAGTGTCAACCCTTATTTGTTTTGATTATTGAACCGGATTGTTTGGTGGGTTCCAGCTTGAGACAGCCCCAGCGGACTTCCGTTTCCCAACAACCAACCAAACAAGGCATTGCTTCACTCGTTACATTGAGTATCACAGGTGAACCTTGACGTTCTAATCTTGTATCTCTTTTTTTTTTTCTATTTGCCCCCTCGAATTCTTACGGGGCTTGTTTCTCCAGATGTGTGGAGGCCAAGGGTGAAGATGCTCAAGAATGTGATAAGTTTGCAAAATATTACCGCTCTCTGTGTCCCAGCGAATGGGTATGGAGTATGCTTTCATCGTGTTTTGTTCAGTAAAATCTCAGAGTGCATTCTCTCTTACAATGCATGAGAGAGAGCCCATCTTTGATTTTGCAGATAGAGAGATGGAACGAGCAAAGGGAGAACGGAACTTTCCCGGGTCCTCTTTAAGTTCAGGTTCAACTGCTGAATTCTCGGGGCGTTGCCCTCATTTTTTTTAGAGTTGTTATAATAAGATTCATGTCTCTGTGTTTTTGGGTTTACAAGCCAAGCCATGTTGGTGGTGTTCCCTCTCATTAAACTTGAGATTTCTCTCTGCCCAAAGCTCTCAAATCTCAGAGGTTGTATTATTGATTTATATGATATATACATGTACATTCATGTATGTAGCCAGATGCCTACCGAAAGCACAAATTAAAAAAGAGTAGACTATCCAATTTTTTATTTGCTAAATGTATGCTATGTCAAGTGTGTCTTATTATCATGGATGGTGGAACCAAATCATATGCAGTTTTACCAGCCAAAAGAAAACAAAAGAGAAGAAATTTGATGATGAACAACCACTGATTCTCTCTACCTAATTTGATATTATACCCGAAAACTGAATATTACACAGATGGACACATTGTTTTACAGAGTATGTACATATATAACCCCCAGATAAAAGGAATAACAATTTTTGGATTAAGCCGGGTGAGTTAGACTTGTTAAATGTTTATTGTCATTTCTCATTTGGTATTTATGGAAATGTTATGTTCACGTGGTTGTTTCACCTTCCACATGCATTTGCGTGTTTATATATATATTGTATATACACACACACACACATTTAGGATGAAGGTACGTACGATTTCAGATTCTCCATTGAAAGTTGGAAACTTCAGGAGATCAAAGTGTCGTACGGACAGACGGATGCCTGACACGAGACAAGGGAATCTTCATGGAAAATGGGTGAATCAGACATGAACTGTACCGCTCACATTCTCACCTTGTCTTTTTTTTTTTTTTTTTTTTCCAGGTCGATGCCAGGTCGATAATTAAATGTTTTCTTCATTAGTGTGAGGTGTTTGTGGCAAGTGTACCAGGAAGTTTCGAGGAATTTCATATCCAACCATCCAACATGCCATATGTGTGTGAAAGTGCGTAACTTTGTATAATGTTGATTATATTTTATTGCGCTTTTATTGAATTGACCAGCTGTAATAGAGCATCATGTAACAAACCACAACACGTCTTGGAGTCGTACACCTATCAATGTACGATCTCAAGATCATTTCTTTATTAAAAAAATGCAATAAACGTTCACGGATGTCATAACTATGTGAAATTTATAGTCCTAACACGCACAATTTTTTTTTTAAAAAAAGATCATGTCAACTCCTCACATGCATGACCACGCTAGTTAATTATGCATAAATCGATTAAATTGTCGAATATAATTGATCTTTCTGCCCAAATGAATACAAACAATTGCGAAATCATTGAAAAAATGAAGCCGTTAGCGTCGACTCTTTGGTGGTGTTGGATCCACATACAAACTGTTAATTGATCTTGCGGCAAAAAATAAAAAAGAGATTACCTTTATTAACAAAATTAAAGAATATAAGTTTCTTCTGCGTACGTAATCAAATGGGATTCGGGTGTCTCTTCAACTATTCTATCGTTTCCTGTTCGTCTTCCTTCATCCAAGCAATAATCTTGACAAGAACCCCTGTCTCTTGCCATCCTTCTTTTTCGAGACGATTACGCTGTAGCGATGATGAAGAGGAGACAAACACGACGACACGGAAGAGTGATAGGAAGAACCCGACGAGGAGGAAACAGAGGACGAACAAGACGACACCGTTTCAGGGTCTCTAGACGAAGATGTGTAGTCGTAGTAATCGAGGGACAACTTCGAGAGCTTCTCGTTCAGACAGAGGGAACAAACTCCAGGAGATTGCCTGTGCTTGGGATGTTTCTTGCACTGACCCATCGTCGAGTTCTCCGAATCTGATAGTTTCTTCTTTGTTCTTCTGGTTGTCCTGGTTCTTGATGATGATGATGATGATCTTGTTCTGCTTCTGGTAAGGAAGTTCGCCATTGTTGACAGTTGATGGAGGGTTTCTTATGCCCAATGTGTGTTTTGGGGGCTTTTGTCTGTTCGTATTTATAGATATGTATGAGTGATTAATGCAGGCTGGTTTTCCATGATATTTCCGGGATGCTTCTCGTCTTTTGTCCCTTTTTTATATTTAAAGAAACCAAAAAGAAAAAAACAAAACAAAAACAATATCGTTTGCAAAAAAAAAAACCCCATTATTACAATTTTTTTCTGTTTCCTGTTGTTTTTTTTTTAAAAAAACGTTCACTGTTTTTAAAACTCGGTTAGCAACTGGTTTGGTATTTCTGCCTATCATTAGCAGTAAAATCTGGTTTCTGTTGGTGCTTTCTATACACCAAATCAACTTATTACTATATATTTTACACACATGGAAATCAAACTGTTGAAACCATGTAAACATACCAGCCGTTCGGAATATTTAGGTAATTTCTGATTTTATAAAATCAAAATACCGGTTACTAAAGTTTAAATAGAAATTCACTGTTGATTATATCTATGATGTAAATTTAAAATAGGAAGAATGCTATTTTCGTTTGCCCAAAATTTTAATTATTGTGAATCAATTTGAAGAGTTGCAACGGGCAGGTGGAGTTATGGAGTTGTTAAATGAACGGCTGTGATATGTCGGGAGATCCCACTGGGCCCACTTTAGTTGGTGAGTCGGTGGCCCATTTCTCTTATTATTTAGGCCTTAAACTCGCTCTGGTACGGCTTCGAACCTTCTGACTGGTTTCGAGGGCTTTTATTTTTTTAAAACTCCGAATGATATATTTTGATATATTCAGATTATTTTTTTTTCCTATTTGTTATTACAGTTGATCGAAATCTAGTAACACCAATTTCCCAATCTTTGATTAGATAACTCCGAGTAATTTCAACCATAGGATCAAAAAACGCAATTGGGAAAATTGGTTACTATTCAATAAAATAGGTAAATGTAAGATTCCCATTACTTTTCGGGTTTCGCTTTTGTTAAAGAAAAAATGTATCCAAAATGAGAAACAAATTGAATTTCATTGTACATTTATAGAATCATATCACGGGAGGAATCTGTGTGGAGGGAAAATAAAATACTATCTACGTTTAGTATTCGGATCCTTCCCCCCCATGATTATGTTTTGGTTCTCGGCATTAACTTATATGAAATGCACTTACCTGTTTATTTATTAATGAGATTTTTCCGTGTCACAATTTATGACCAAAGATCATAAGGAATCATTTACTAATTTTCCATAAATATTCCAATAATCTCTTTATAATTATTTCATTCATGCCTCCCTCCCCTCTAATTTTTCCCGGCCATGACCACCATGGCTTTCGCCGCCGTATTCCTCGCCGTCACATTCGCCGTTGGACTGTCTCAGTCTCAGTCACCTGTTCCGGCTCCCGCCAAGTCGCCCAAAGCCGCCCCTCCGAAACCCATCATCACCTTGCCTCCTCCTCTTCCTTCCGTCTCGCCGGTTCCCTCCATCATGTCTCCTCCACCGGTCATTTCTCCGGCTTCATCGCCGAAATCCGCGCATGCGCCATCTCCGACGACCGTATCTCCGGCTCGGCCGCCGGGATCCGCACCTAAGCCTTCTCCGAAGACAGTCTCTCCGACTCCCGCACCATCTCCGGAGATCACACCGCCGTCGCCGTACTCTTCTCCGCCTTCTCCTCCGGATACCCCATCAGATTTTGGCGACGAACCCGTCCCAGCCCCCGAAACGCCGCCGCCGCCAAGTGGAGCTAGCTTCAGCGGAGTCACCACCGTCGGCTGCGTCGTCGGAGCAATTCTCACGGCGGCGCTTTTGTCGTAGATGTGTGAGGCGGAATTTCCATGGATGAAAAAGACAGACGTTCTCGGCTTTGAATTGGTTTTATTCTAAGATTATTTGCATCGTGTTATATATTTTTCATGGCAAGAGACAACATTTCGTGGGTTCTTATTACAATGATATTATGTGTTGGCATTTTCCCAACTAATTCGCAAATCTATGGTTACGTGTCGCATTGGATGTAATAATCATAAAAAGAGTTTGGACGATAATCCATTGATGGGCCTCGTAGATCACTGAAAAAGCATTTCATAGATAAATCATAGAGCGATTGGAAACATGGCATAGATACAGGCACTGCCTCTACCCTGGTCTCTCGACAACGTACGAATATCATAGAACCAATCACAACAAAAGGAAACATCAAAACTGGGAGATGACCAAAACATACAAAGCAGCAAACCAAGCAGCCAACGAAGGCGAGGCGGCCACCGGAGCAGAGGAACCGAGACGGCCCGTGTCGGTCGTGGGATTAGCGCCGGCAGAGGAGACGGTGACAGAGAGCTTCATGCCGGAGGAGCAGTGACCGGGGACGGCGCAGATGAAGAAGTGTGTCCCGGGGGTTTTGAGAGAGATGGAAGTGGAGCCAGTGCTGTCCGAAGAGATGGAGTTCCCCACCGTACAGCTCTTGTAGTCGCTTTCATTCACTTCGTCCACCGTATGCCCCGCTCCGTACTTGAACACTGCCTCGTCGTCACATCACACGCAGCCAAAAAACAAAAACAGAAAGGGTAAAACAAGCCGTGTCTTCGACATTTCTCTACAATGACTTCAAAGGGTTATGCAGTTTGGTTAAATTTGGCGCAGTAGACGGAATTTGACCGTTAGCTAACTGCTAAAAGGTGAAATCACGATAAAGATTGGCTTTGAATGCAAACAGCCAACTCTCAACGCACATTTTCCCTGCAAACACGGAATGTTTTGATCTAAAGGCAAGGGCGAATAAGATGGGCTATATATATATGGGTTTGGTGTTAAAAACATAAATAATGTGAAATCATATATATATGTGAAATGCGAAGGAGAGGAAACATACAGAGAGTGTCTCCGACAGCAAAGGCCTTGCCGGTGGTCAAGGAAGTGTAGTCTGACCCAAGCGACCAGTCGACAGCGTGAGTGGTAGCGGAGGAAGGATTCACAAGGGACATTAAGAGAACTAAGCAACCGATAACTCTACTTAGGTTTCCCATTTCTTATGAATGTATGGTGATTTGTGGCAATGGAGCTTGTGAGTGTGATTGTTATATATGTGGATAATGGGATAAAAGGGTATGTATGTGTAGTTAGTAAAGAGTTGGGTCCAACCACCTAAGCTTTTATGTAAAGGTCTCAACTTTTGAAAAAGACTCGGTTCTTGTGCAAAGGGTTGTGACCATGTGTGTTGTTTTGGATTGGGATTTACTCAATTCACCTTCTTAATTTCTCGTGTTGAATTTTCTTATAAAGTCAAAGAACCCAACTGCCAATCTCTGTTTACTGTTCTTCAGTGTTACTCAATCTAAACTCTAAGTTAACGTTTGTTTTTGAAGGACAGAAGAAAGAACATACGCAGATATGATAAGAGACACTGCAGCTGCTTGGGGGTTTTAACCCTAATAATCCACTTGGGTCGCAGCAATTTCAGGGTACACCACCGAAAAAAAAAAAAAAATTTGCGACCTTATTACGACTAATATATAACTAATATACAACTAAAATAAGAGTAGTTTATTAGTCGTAATAAGTTGTATATTAATTATATATTAGTCGTAATAAGGTCGCAAATTTTTTTTTTTTTCGGTGGTGTACACTGAAATTGCTGCGACCCAAGTGGGTTATTTGAGTAATATTCCCAGCTGCTTGAGTAGCTTTAATTCCACTTATTACAGCATACGACGTGGCATTATATGTGATCAAAGCATCTTCTTTAGTCACTGAAAGTGGGTTAGGTGAGGCTTGTTTTTTGGTTTGGAACACTGGGGTCATCTTTTTATCATAACATCTCACCAAACATTAAAACCCATTGTTATTTCAAAACTCCAAAAGTTGCACAACAAAAAAAAAAGAGTTCTTAAAATTAAAATATTTTCTAAACTATATTATTTTTGGGTTTCGGTTTAATCATATCATCTTTGCCTTTAAACCGAGAGGGCTCAATTTTATAAAAGGAAAGGCCCATAAATAGTCACACTTATGAGGCCTTTCGAGCCCAATACGACTTCCACATCTGAAACGCAGCGTTTAGTGACCTGCACCTTTTCTTTCTCATGTCACCAAATCATGCGGACTGGATAGTGGATACCGTATAAGCTCGAATATATGTATTCTTTAAAACAACGCGAAATGAATATAATTTTTTTTTATATAAATTAAATAGGAAAAAAACGGATGATTATGTGACATGTGGAAGTTTATGATTTTTTTTTTGTTATTGACAAGGGGATTATATTAATATATTAAATAATATACGACGCCGTTTTAAAGAATACACGAGTTTGTACTTTGTACAGTATCCAGTACGCATGATTTTCAGGCCTCCTAATCAGAGGGCCTACAATAGATATACAGTTGGGCTTACAAACTCCTCGGCCTTTCATTTCCCTTTTTTTTTTTGCATTTACTTTTCTTTTTAAATTACAAGAATTTTGAAAAAAAAACGAAAGTATAAAAACAACACATATTTTATTTATCTATTTTTATTAAAATGGCATTTTATATGTTTAAGATTAAATGCTACCCACTTATGAGGGTTTAGTTTAGATGTTTAAAAATGAAAATTTACGGGAATTTCTTACTCAAATTCTTCAAACGATCAGTTTCCAAAGTCGAAAGAAAATAATATATATTTCTAAGGCCCTGTAATATCTCCCGAACCTGAATTCTAATACCCGGACTCGAATCCGAATTTCGGGTTTTTCTAAAATATAAACCCGTTCTCGTTTCAATAAGCCGTCGAGTACCCGAATTTCGGATATCCGATCCGCGGGTTAAGTCGGATACCCGAATTTCGGGTATTTTTGCCCACCCCTATCTACTAATTCTCTGTTAAATTCTTTGATTTTTTTTTTCTAAACCTCATAGCTAAAAGTAATTATAGATAAGAGGCGATTAGAGAGAGTAATACACGCGTAACTATTAAAACATGTATCTGATACACACTTACACAACTTTTAATTTAGGTTCTAATTTACGGCAGTAAGTGACTGATAGTTTTCTTACAAAAACATCTATGTCCCAATCAATTATGCATGTCTCTATATATATATACACACACACACCATATAGGTGCCCATTATTTCAAGAAAATCTGACAATATGTGCTGTTGAGGTTACTTTTAAATATGAAAAGTCAAAATATAGAATTATTTCATATTATCCATATCTCCACTAATATCAATAAGAAATGATTAGGCTGAGGTTTCCATATTTTATTATTGGTTAAAAAATCGAGTACTATTCCCGGAGACCAAAAACTAGATAAACATAATCAAATAGTAGGAAAGCGACGTGGTTAGGACATGGAAGAGGGTCCATCAACCAATCACATCTTATGACGAACGTTCATGGTACAACTGCGTTGACCTTGATGGCCGACACTGTACATCCTCATCGCAAGTTTCAGCTGCAACCTTATATTATAAATGGTTTTATCAATTTGCTAGAGCGATACGGTAAGACATCGTTATATGCTACTTCAGTTACATGTATATATTTTTTTTTCCCAAACTGGGTGCCTTGGTAGATTTCAACATTCCAACCTCTAAAGTCAACATCGATACCTTATATACATACACACACATATATATGAGTTCTGATGTAAATATGTGATGTTTATGAGTGGACCAAAGATGATTATTTCAAAGTCAAACTAACAAACGCAAACATTTTTATTTTCAGTGACGATTCGACATTAATTTTACTTTTTATTTCTTGCCTCTTAATGTCTCTCACGTTCTTACATGATCTCCTCTGATCATCAACTAATTTTCGTTTCTAAACATTTTCCCTCTGCATTCTGGCAATCTGCATGGACTGAACAAACATCACGGCCAAAGCTCGGTCCCCATGAAACCCAGTGGTAGAATCACTCTCAGCCGTGCAGTCTCCATCGACGGCCGCCATGGCACAACCTTCATTCTGCTTCTCTTCCTCGGCATCGGTATACCGGTCAGTACGGCGCAAACCACGTCCGGTACGACTAATCCCGGCGATTCAGAAGGTTCCCCAAACGACAGCGGTTTTGACCCGACCATGGCCATTCTCATGATCGTTCTCGTCAGCTTTTTCTTCTTCCTTGGGTTCTTCTCGGTCTACATACGGCGTTGCCTCGAGCGAGCCATCGATGGTCACTCCGTCGACCCGGGAAACTGGCTCTCGATGAGGCAGGCGGCGGCGCGTGGGCTCGACACGTCGGTCATCGAGACGTTCCCGACGTTTCGCTACTCGACCGTCAAAACTCTTAGGGTCGGCAAAGAAGTGCTCGAGTGCCCGGTTTGTCTCAACGAGTTCCAAGACGACGAAACGCTGCGTTTGCTACCAAAATGCTGCCACGTGTTTCATCCTGATTGCATCGATGCCTGGCTCCGATCTCGTGCCACGTGTCCACTATGTCGGGCCAATCTCATCCCCGTACCGGGGGAGTCTTCCTCTCTCCAGTTACCCGTCCTGGTCGGAGAATCCGATCACGGTTCTCGTGACCGGAGTCGGGTTTTGGGTTCTCCAGATGCGCGGTTGATCGACTCAGTGACGTGGACCAATCATAGCATGCCGCGTAGGTCGATGTCTACTGGGTGGAGACTAGCCGGGTTGTTCGGCCGGTCTGATTCCACCAGTCCACCGGTTGATCTGGAGCGGTTTACGCTGAGATTACCGCAAGAGGTACATGACCAGTTGGTAAACTCGAGCATCGAAAGCAAGATGACAAAAAGCCCCGTGGCGTTACCTCAAGCCAGGAGCTCGATGATTGGGTACAGAACCGGAAGCCTAGGGAGCGAGAAAAATTACTTCTACTACCAAAGGTTCGGTGAAGACGGCCGGTTGGACCGGAAGCCGTTTTCAATTACTCCCCCATATCGGACCGGTTCACTTCGGTCCCCAGGAACCGATGAACAGGTGCGGCCAGGAACTCCCAAAGGTTTTCTTCACGGGATAATACGTTCACCATTGGATCGTTTGATTCTTCGAAAGGACGATGAATACGAACGTTCGCCGGACCACCTTCGATCAGGGGATAAGAGTCCTGTCTAGACCACGTTTTCTACATTGATTCTCTATATTGAAATGTCGTGTACATAATAATATTTCTAAAACGTTATTGCAGTTTTTCATACTCTTGAACTTAAACACAGCACATTGAGATTACATAAGTCTTCCAAATATTACATTCAGTGGAATACATAACAATACACAATATTAATTACATTTTTTTTTTTATATAATTTGGCCATTACCACCACAAAACTCTGCACCAATAAAACAGGAAAATCAAATATAATTTAGTAATGTCTATACGGTTCTATCGGGGGAAGTGGAGACGACGGGGTTGACATGGCCGAGCATACTCACGACTTGTCTCATGCTTGGCCTGAGACCGGAGATCTTCGTCGTACAGAGAATTCCGATCTTTAGAACCCTAACCATGCTCTCTTCCACGTACGTAAAACATGAAATTTCCTTGTCCAAGACATTTTGTAGATTATGCCGATCCTGTTGAATCTTAGACAAGACCCAATCAACGATGTTTTTTCCTTCCCCGTACTCATCTTCCACTGGCCGCCGACCAGTCACCAGCTCCAGAAGGACGACACCAAAGCTGTACACGTCACTCTTCTCCGTCCATTTGAAGCAGTATGCAAGCTCTGAGGTTTAACCCCAGAAAAAGAAATCAGGTTCTAAGAACGATCAAGAAGGCATTAGACTGAAACCAAACAAAATATTACACTTAGCTTTAAAACTTACCAGGAGCCATATATCCATGAGTCCCAGCTACACAGCTCCACTCACGTCCTTTATGAGACGATGAGTTATTGACAATCTTTGCAATACCAAAGTCTGCAATTTTCGGCTCATACTCTGCATCCAGCAAAATGTTGCTCGACTTTATATCCCTGTGGATGATCGGTGGACAACAGTCGTGATGCAGATATGCGATTCCTTTTGCAGCCCCCATCGCTATTTTGTACCTGTTTCAAAATTAAATGGGAAGCACTACTAATTTTGAATCCACATTTGAAATGCTACATATTTAATAGAGTACAGAATGGCGTACCTTTTTTGCCAATCCAATTCCGGTGACCCGCCTTTGATCTTGCGGGGAAGGGCCTGAAACAAATTACCATTCTCCATGAACTCAAACACCAAATAGCTTGAACCTCTTCCG